CGCGGTGTTCTTTGTATTGCCATAATAGTTGATGAATAGATTGGAAGTTTTCTCGGAAAAAACAATTCCTCGCCGGTGATGCCGCAGCCAACCTTGTGATTCGGAGAATTTCAAATAACAAACATGGAGAAAAAAAAAGTGAGCATAAAACACTAGTGCTGCAGCACTACCAACTGCTCCGAAGCAGCTACCATGTCGTTTTTTTTTTTTTTTTGCAGGCTGCTACCATGTCGTTGCCACAGCTCAGATGACCAACGGTAACTTTCTATTTTTCACCCTTTGTTTATACGACCCCACTGGTCGTGGTCTTGGTCTTTCTCTGCTCTCGTCTGGAATCTGGATGCCCATTGGCCACAGCCACAAGACCCGCTCGCCATAAGTCTCCGGCTCTAGCCTCTCTTCTGGTCACCGGCCGGCCCCTCCCCCTCCTCGCCGGACTTCGCGCTCCAGCTCCACGCTTCTCTCCCCGTTCCCATCCGACCATCCAGGCGAAGCGAGCCATGGGCAGCATCTGCGAGTACGAAGAGTGGAACTGGACCAAGATTGCCATCTGGGCGGCGATCCTGCTCGTGCTCGGGGGCGTCCTCGTCGTCCTCATCCTCGCCTTCGCCGTCATCAAGCCGCCCACGGCCAAGGCCGAGGACGCCCTGCTCACGCGCTTCGACCTCGCCCCGTCCCCCAACGCCTCCAATTCCACCACCGCCAAGTCGCCGCTCCAGCTGCTGTCCTACAACGCGACGGCGACCGTGTCGATGCGCAACCCGAACCTGCACTACGCCATCAGCTACAGCACCCTGGCGGTGGCCTTCTCCTTCAACGGCACCCGCTTCGACGAGTCCGGCACCGTGGCGGCGCTGGACCTCGGCGCCCGGAAGGAGACCACGCTGCGGCTCAAGGTGGGCGGCGTCGACCGGGCGCTGCCGAAGCTGCCGCCGGCCGGCGCGGCGGAGTTCGCCAGGCAGAAGGAAGCCGGCCGGTTCGAGGTGGAGGTGCGGCTGGACACGGTGATGCAGTATAAGGGGCGCAAGACCAAGTGCCCGCTGGCCGTCATCTGCCCGGTGAGCCTGCAGCTCGTCGACCCGGACGTCGCCGCCACCTCCTTCCAGAAGACCAAGTGCACCATCCTCCGGGCCAAGATCTCCGGATGCTAGCCTAGCCCCCGCGCTCGCCATTGCCACCAGCTAATTTCCTTGGATTTCGTTTCGTGCTGTAAAAAAATGTACTGTGCTAGTGCTGGTGCAGAACAAGCATCAATTCTGCTCCTCTTTCGCATGGGAAAACATGGGATCTTCATTTGTTGTTGGTCGATTAGATTTGTTGTTGATCTTCATGCTTGGAAGATTCGATGCCAATGTCATGATCATCAATCAAACTTGTTGCTTGCTCTGTGCGGATTTCGGTCGATGGGTGGATTGGAATTGGATAGAATGTGCGCTGCAATTTGGTTGATGTTGCTAGGGGGTGTTGCGATGACTTTGAGGGTTGACTAGCGACTGGTGTGTTGGGACATGTTGGCTCTGCCGGACGCACATGCACATCCAAGGTGGAGGCATCTAATCTAAACTGAAGGAGGGTTGTTGAGGCCATGATTGGCGACTGACAGAGAGGAGAGGGAGGGCAGCATTCTATTCTACAGAGACAACGACAAAAAACGCGTTATCCAGGAGTCTAAATGTCCTCCACCGTCATCCCTAACAGTTATGTAATGCTTGCGTCGCTGTAACGGTAAAGAACACGTTCAGAAAGCGCGTCCGTGGCAAAATTAAACAACACGTTGAGTACAACCGAGAGAGAAACTGACAGACAGACAGCCACACACACCCTTCTCTGTCTTCACCATTACCCTTTTTCTAATCAAAGGATTGGGTAGCTCTCATGCCAACATTTGAAAACAATCGCACTGCTCTTGCAATGACATGATATCTGGTTACTTAGAGCAACTCCAACGGGGCGACCCAAACGGACGGCGCTTTCGTCCGCGTTTTGTCCGTTTGGGTCGGCCGCGTGTCCGTCGTCCGCCCTCTTTTAGATTTGGATCGGCAGCGCGCCCAACGCGCCAACCCATTTCATGACCGCGCGCGTTTTAGATCATGCCAGCGGCAATGCCAGCGCGCGGGAAAGGTTCACGGGCATGGGGAAAATTCGGCCTAGCGCGCGTTGGCTTTGGCGCTCCAAAGCGCGGGAAATGTTCGCGCACGCATTTTGGCGCGCCGCGGCCGGCGCTCATTATAATATGGCGCTCCCTCCACACTTTGTATGCCGCCGCCGCCCACTCGTCTCGCCCCCACTCACTAGCCCTGCCGCCTGTGCGCCACCATGTCGATGCGCATCCTCGGCGCTTCGGATTTTCGCGGAGTCCGCGAGCGGCCCTCCGTCGCCTTCTCCGCCGAGATTTTGTTTGGCGAGAAACGACTCATCCTCGGCACCTTCGACACCGCTGAGCAGGCGGCCCGTGCGTACGACACGGCAGCATGGCGCCTTCGGGGCCGAGTCGGGAGATGAATTTTCCTGACGTGCCGAAACAGCGGGCGCAGGATCTGGCGCCTCTCCTGCGGCTTTTCACTGACGAGGATCGTCGCGTCCACCGGAGGCGGATGCGTCGCCTCGCCATCGCCGAGATGGACGTGCAAGCCTTGGTGCTGTGGCGCGAACGCTTCTCGCAGGACATCATCGACGAACGTCAGTTCTGTGAGCAGAGGGCGACGGAGAGGAAGGCCAGGAGGACGGAGCGAGCCGCCTATCGGGAGGGCAAGCACGCGCGGAAGCTGACCGCTCAAATGAGACTGAGGCTGCGAGAAACATCGGGTTGGGACTTCGAGGACGAGCACGCTGCTGACGCCTACATTCAGACGTCGGAGGAGGACATTACCGAGTCGGAGTCGGAAAGCGACGAGTAGTTGATATTTTCTTTTATCTGTGTATGCAAGAACTATCTATGTATCCTTTTTCATCGGAAAAAATGGCCGGCGGCATCGGCCACGAAGCAGGCGGTGGAGGTTGTGCACGCGCGGGGAGGAGAGAGGGCGCGTGCGCGTCCGTCTTGTATCCACGCCAACGCAAATCCGGCTCAAAAATGGGCCGGGAATGGGTCGGAAGGCGGACGAAAGCGGACGAGCGTCCGTTTGGGTCGGCACGTTGGGCCGTCATTTCTGTCTGCGCCGACCCAAACGGACGGTGGCGGACGAAATGGGTCGCCCCATTGGAGATGCTCTTACAGAATGACCGGCAAGGCAAAGTTTGGTCTCGACACCAACATCGGAATATTTGAATCGCTAATGACCGGCAGTGATGCCCGAAACAGTGAGACAAGGGATGCTCGGCCCGAACGAAGGACACAACACAGCTAAACCTGTCATGCCCGACCCAAGGGCGGCAATGCCAAACCAACAACAGCACCAACATCTCGAGAACCAAAATAAGGGACACGCGCGAGCGAGATAGCGCCTTCAAGAAGGAGGACGACGTTGAGACGCCGTCACCATTCGGTCCGGAGGAACAAGACCTAGGGTTTCTGTAACGCCCCAGATTCGATGCGCTAGGTGTTCGCCAGTTAGTCGCCATCGTTGCCATGTCATTCGCTTGGGTGTTGCATTTTGCCATGTCATCATGTGCATCTCATTTTGCATACGTGTTTGTTTCATGCATCTGAGCTTTTTTCCCCGTTGTCCGTTTTGCAATCCGACACTCCTATGTTCCCCGGTGCCCCCTTTTCCCTCTTTTCATGTGCGGGTGTTAAACCTTCTCGGAATGGACCATGATTTGTCAAGCGGTCTTGGTATACCACCGGTAGACCGCCTGTCAAGTTTCGTGCCATTTGGAGTCCGTTTGATACTCCAACGGTTAACCGGGGAACCGTAAAGGCCTCTTTTGTGTGCAGCCCAACACACTTCCAAAGTGGCCCAAAATCCATCCAAAGCCCCTCCACGCTCTGGGTCGTTTGATCACGATCGTGTGGGCGAAAACCGCTCCTCATTTGGAGTCTCCTAGCTCCCTCTACCTATAAATAGATCCTCCCCTTCCAAATCCCGGGTCCAAACCCTAAAAATTTTCCCTCGCCGCCGCCGGACGCGTCCACGACGGCCGGACATGTCCGCCCCGCTCCTCCCGTCCAACCGCAGCGCGCCACATGGCGCCCCCACGCCCACATCACCGCCGACCCGCGGAGCCCATCCGGGGCCCGCGCGGGCCCAGATCCCGCCTCGCCGCCACCGCCCCGCGGCCCGGAACCCTGCCGCCGATTCGCCTGCCGCCGTCTGGACCTCGTCGCCGTCTGCGCCTACGCACCATCCGGCCCCGCCGCAGTGCGCCCCACGCGCCCCTCGCCGGCCGCCGGTCGCGCCAGTGCCTCGCCGGTGCCTCCCCGCCGCCTCCGCTGGTCGCCGCCAGCGCCCGCAGCGGCCGCGCCCTCGCCTACGCTCCGGCGGGAGTTCGCCGGAGCGCGAGCCCCGCCGCCTCACAGTGCTGTCCCCTCGCCGCCCCGCGCCTCCTCGCGACCAGATCCGGTCGGGGAGAGGCCCTGCCGCCGACCCCTGTCGCCGGAGCAACCTAGCCGGTGCCTCGCGTCCTCTCCGGCCATCTTCTTCCCCTGCTCCGGCGAGAACCCCGGCCATCATCGAAATTCGTGCAGATCTGAAGGTTGACCCCGAAATTTCCCTAAGTCCCTAATTATTTACATATTCTGGTGTATATTTTGACCTGCCATATCTTGTTGCATACTGCTCCGTTTTGTGCGTGTAATACGTAAAAATGTTCATTCAGAGATGTACTTCATTTCATTCCATTGCACCATGTTCATTTGAGGTCATCTTGGTGCCAAAATCATCGTTGCAAGAATGCTATATGATGTTAATCTGCTGAAACTGTTATAACTTGGTGATTTGTCGTTTTTGTTGCATTTGATGTGTGCATCGTATGAGCATGAGCTCTATATGTGTTTTGAACTATGCCATGCCATATTTACAGGGGTTCCATCCATGTATTTTTGTGAGTCCTGTAGTGAGTTCATCAAGCTTGTTAAGTAGGGTACTTGTTGTTGCTATTTTGCTAGGCTGAATCTTTTATTTTGTGATGCTATGTAAACCTGCTGCTACAAGTCATTCTATGCATAATCTGGAGATGTTCACTAAGAATGTTTTGTTATACATGTCATGCTCTATCCATCCATGCCCCTGATTGCATTTATAGCCTGCTGTAACATGTTGTTATCTTGCTCTCAAATTGCTAAATAATGTTGCTGTCAGCCTGTTAACATTAAGTTCAGTTTTGCCATGTGTTTTGCTAGTGATCCATGCACCCTATGAACTTTCTCTTGACATTCCTAGCTTCATAAATATGTATTCTTACAGTTGGTTACCTTGCCATGCCATGTATTGTTGTTTGGTGAGTGGTACAAGCTAATCAACATGCCTACTTACTGTTGTTCCTGCCATGTATGAATCTGCCATATCACTTGCTATGTTTACATGGATTCCATCATATTTCCTGTGCCCTTTTGGCTCATGGTCAGTAAGGGACTTTTGTTCTATTCAATTAGTAGATTCATTCCATGACTTTGTTTTTCATGTTAAGTTCCTGTAGTATGTTGTTTGGCAGCTTTAAACATTGCAACCTAATGTTATTTCTGCAAAGTCTGAAACTGTTACTATATGCAATCTTGCCATGTGTTTTGGAGCATATTTTAGTGATTTCTGGAGATAGCTCAGTGTTCATGTTTTGTTATGCTTTACCTGTACATCATGTCCATTCCTTCTGTTCTCATGTTGGGGTGTTGTAGCATGTTGTTTTGATGCTTGCAATATGCCTAGCTGCTGTTTTGGACACCTTGTCCTTTAAACTTGTATAGAGTGTATGTGTGGAACCGTTGCTCCGTTTTGAGTGTGCTCTATATGAAACTTGCTTGATTTTGCATGTAGCTTCACATTATCATGTTACATCCTTGTTTGAGGTGTTTGCTTGATGTTTGGATGCATTTTGCATCAATGTCATGTTTAATTTGTTTTGCTCATATCTTATAGGCCGTACCTCCGAACTAATTGAACTTTATATGTAACTTGACTAGAATCTCGTGTAGATCCTCTTGGTGCTCTTTAACTTACTGTTTAACAACTTAAACATAAGATTTATTCAGATCTGGACCAATTTCGAAATTTGC